ACATTTTCATACTTGCAAAGCTTATGGTATTTACTATTTTGACAAGAAAACGTCTGACAACTTTTTCAGTCGTCTATGAAACTGGGGAAAAAAAGCTGCAGTATTTTTTTACATGCTATGTTCAGAATAAAAAGGTATACACTTCATTACCTCACTCCACAAACACCCACGAAATTTGATTTTGTATCCTTGCAAAGCTCATGGCATTTGCTATATCATTTGCAAAAATCTCAATAACTTTTTCATTTCTAAATGAAACTTTGGGAAAAAAGCTGCAGTCTTTCTTTACACACTATGTTCAGAATAAAAAGGTATACACTCCATTGCCTCACTCAACACAGACCCACAAAATTTGATTTCAAAAATCTTGTAGGTACTTACTTTGTTGCTTTTGGGGTGACAGATACTCTGATAACTTATTTGTTTTTCTATCAAATGTCTTCGAAAAACTTGTATTCTTTTACTAAAGCACTCAATGAATATTTGAAAGTATCACTAACACCTACCTGACCCCACCAAGAAGCCTCAAACTGGATTTTGCCTTTGTCATTTTCAAAAGTCTCAATAACTTTTGTGTTTTTCAATTGAACTTCTTTAAACATGTTGGATTTGTTTTCACCAGGAGCTTTCTATAGTACCAACCCTGATATACACTTACTTGACTTCAGAATGACTCGTGTAATATAAGTTCAAAAATCTGGGAGCACTATGCTATCAAGCTTTGGTACAACCAATTTGATACTTGTAAAGTTTTTGAATCAAACTTCTTCGAAAAACACTGTTATAATTGATATTATAAACGCTTATGATTCAAGTCCAGATCACACACCTCATTGACTGATGTTGATATCTTCAAGTTCCTATAAACGGTACTCATTCGAATCCTATGTAGAGTTGCTAGGTAGTATTTGAATTTGATTGGTTTATACATATTTATGATATGTACATATGCCTGTACGTATACAAATGATTTGGCCCCAGCGCGGGGGGCTTATCTGCCAATTTTCGACACACTACGTCTTTTGATCCTCCTACAACAACTTCAACTTCATCTTTAACAAAACCTTCCATTTCAAATATGTCTTTACGATCAGGTAGACAGTTATCCCCTTCAGCAGCTACTGCGCCAGTTATCAGTAAACAACGCAGAGATTCTGCTAACACCAAGAAGAAATCGTTGAGAAAAAATAATCGAGGCCGACAACCTACCCCAGAACCAGACGCCACTAACTTAGCAGATAATATAAGATCGGAAGTAGACACCACTAACTTGGCAGATAATACAAGATCTAAAGAATTCACATCTAGTTTTCCATCTCTCAATATTGACAATATGGAGCAAGAACTTGACAAATGGACCGTTGTTGACCTTCGAAAAGAACTGGCAGAACGGAAGAAGAATGCTTCTCGACACAAGAATCAGGTGCCCACTGAAATCAATAACCTGGTGCAGCTCATACGATTGGATCATGAGAAGCGAATGCTGATGGCAGCATTAATTGGGGGTATCAGTGAGACAATGGTGTGGGAACTTACGTGCGTGACCTTTTGATTCTTTTCATTCTCTTCTCACTTAAATGTTTCATTCTAATCTCACTCATTCTCATTTCTCGAGAACTTTTTCTTGTTGTAGAAACGTTGGTCCAACAAGCGGGAAGTCATCTTGCTGGACTCGCTTTCTGTCCTTTGGAAAGAAACCTTTGGCGATTGAAAGTAATTAATTATCTTTGAGACTTTATACTTCTATTGCACGGTCTGACATCCTTGAATATACGTTATCTTCACATGTATAGTGCCTCATCGAAACAATAAGGCGGGTTGGGCTAAACGAAACACGGACATCCGTGACATTTGGGACAACATGACCAACGACGAGAAGATGGTCTTCAGAACACCTTACTTTTTTGCACTGGCTAAACTTCCCGACTTGTCATCACCCAGTGTAGCGGTAGAAGTAGGAGATGTCGACCAGGAAATCAATGAGGAAGACATATCAGCTCAAGTCACTTCCCCTCACGTTAATCAGCTGTCAGAAGAAGAAGAGCTCCTGTATCGACCAATCTTCGATGAACTAGTGGATGTCGAAAAAGTTCACTTTAACCACGGAAAGCCAGAAAAAAATGTTTCAGTGGCCAGCCTTCAGCTTAAATCATTAGCTGCCTTTCGAGTTGCTCATCATAATGTAGGTTGTATACCTCATCCTCATCTGAACAACACTTTACTGATCTCCTCCATTTTTTAGTTTGCAATTGTATGTCAGCGCTTTCATATTCACTACTACCTTACTGCACTCAGCTGCGATATTAGCGATGGTTGGAATGAAGTGTACTCAACGAACAAGACCTTTTCAGAATGGGCCGACGAGAAGATGGAATTCAGTACAAAGTTTAAGTACTATGTCCATGGCAAAGTGGTGGCCAGCGAGATCGAGAAGAAGGCTGCTCCACCTGTGGACGCACGAAGAGCCGAACTGACAAAGGCGTTGAACCATTTGATGCGTAAGTCATGTCTGTAGTGGTACAGACAATAGAATCATGCATGTTAATCGCATTCTGGTTCTTGCTACTCAAAGACAAACACATACCTGGAAAAGTATTTCCCAAGAAACCAGATCCCGCAGGTGTCATCAAAGCTCGAGGATGGCCTATTCGCCTGGTACAAACTCAACCCGGTAGCACCCTTTTACCAGAAGAGCTCGAATCAGGGTTTCCGGGGCGTGTGATGATGGCCAAAAGAAGAAATGGCTCAGCGACATCAAAAATGGATACTTTTATATTGAGAAGATACCTCCTTCCGAGATGGTCCCAGCGCAAAAAGGTAACACAAAAAGAAAAAGGCCAAAATCGACCACAGCAACTCAAACAACTTCATCCAATCAA